TAAATAAGTAGGAGGTGTAGCTGGGAGGACGGGTAGAGGCTTAAACAGGTGTTTGGAAACAATCTATGTTTGGAAGATTTTTTGTAAGTGAGTGATGATTAATTTTGTAAATCTCAGAGCATGACTGGATTACAGCCCCCAGTGGCTGCAGAACTCCAGATTCACTGTGTGTCAGCTGTTTTTTCCAATTTGAAAAACTGCAATTCTGTTTGGGAATTTGTATCAATAAAGTACAATATAAACCAAGATATGAAGCATTATTATTTAATCTCGTGGTCCTGTCTTGTAGAGGGACCCTGCATCTTTAATCTACTGCACAGACCTCTATTATTTTAGTTTTAGTTTGAGCTCATGTGGGAAATATTCCTAAAGAAAAAAAGGAAAAGTTGTGTTTTGGAGCCGGGTAGTGTTATTCCACTGTAGGCGTTCTGTGCATGGTGGTTTCTGGGTTTCAGCTGTGAGGATTTCCAAGAGAGAACTTGTATTCAGGTATTTTTTTAAATAAACTCTTACGTCAAATGATTAATTTCTGCACTCATTACATTAATCTTGTTGAAGTGTGCAGAAACATTGCAGAAATGAGAGTGTACATATATGAAATGATCGATTTTCTTAATTCCGTCATTAATTATTTTCCAATATTAAGTTTTAAGTTGTCGTTTAAAGCACAAAGAACATTTACATTATTGTTCTCTGTTGAATATTCGTACAGTAAAGCCATAGGCGTGAGGAACAGGGGAGATCTGGAGCCGAGTGGACTTCAGGAATGAAGCCGGGAGGTCGCTGGCAGGATCGACTGGAATTTGGAAATATTTTGGGGGGTTTTTCTTGGCACATAAACCGTTCACAGGTTCAAATCCCACACGGGGGTTCTGAGTGAGTGAAAACCGGAAAAGTGGGAGTCAGCTAAAGACCGAGCTACACAGCTGGAAAGGAAAACACATCAGTGCTGCTCGAGTTTAGGAAAGTAAGAGGGGTGTAGAGGAGGAGGAGGAGGAGGTGTGAGAGTTAGACGAAGGGTTTGAGGAGATTCTTCAAGTGAAGGGGAGTTTTTCAGAGTTAGTTTAAGTCTGAAGAAGGAGAACCAGATTTGATTTGAATATTTTAGGGTTAAGAGAAAGCCAGAGAGCTTGCGAAAGTATCTGAAGTTAGAAACAGGATTGATTTGATGAGTGTTTCACTTCCCTTGTGTTTTAAAATTGGACTTATGGGTAACAAGGTAAGAACATGTTTCTACAGTCACAGAGAAATTTGTGGTTTTAGTGGGAGTCACATGCTGGAGCGATTTATCAGGAAACCAGCTGAGACTCAAACGATATAAACATGTCCATCACAGAGCTTTAGACGTGTTAGTAGATGTGTTTTTGAACTTTGCACAGAGCCAGGCTAAATGCTGCCGGTCTTATGCTAAGCTAAGCTAACCAGGCTCCAGAGATCAGATGCATAAAACTGTGTGTGAATTTATGAGTTATTATAGTTCATACATTTTTAACTTTGAACTGACTGATTGGTGCTTGAAAATAATCAATTGGCTTTGTAACATAAATTCTTCACGTCTGTCACAATGCATTACAACACACACTCCTTTGGATTATTATCTCTGTACACTGCACATATTCTTTAATATATCCTCCTGCGCTCTCATATGAAGATGTTATATTTTGGGTTTGCTGCACCTTATAATTCATTCTGCTTAACACAGACCTGTTGTCCTCGTTTGTGAACCCTTTTAATGTGCCACCTATTGGTAAAAAAAGCAAAATATACTAAGCTGTGTAAAAACAAGGTGGCGGCCATCACTGCCAGGTCAGTCCACAGCCAGTCCCAACACAGAAAAGGACAAGTACAAAACCTGATAAAAATTTTATGGTTGAAAACTGTTTATTTTTGCTTAATAATGTTTGCAGTTTAATATGGCATATAAATTGGACCAATTGTGGTAAACCCAACAAGGTACGAAGCTGTTTCATTATGAAGTGCTCATTTGAGGACACTGGGACTTCTGCAGCATTTCTGTTCCTACAGACAAAAGGACATTCCTAGCTCGGAGTATGGGGCAAGGTAAATTCAAACAGAGCTACAAAATGTACAAATCACATGGCTTTTAGATATGCTGCATATTTGCAATTTTGCTTTTGCACAGCCGTGTTCAGGCAGTGAAATGAACGGTTTTGTGCTTGAACAGTGAACGCTAACTCACAGAGTTACAAGACCTTGAACAACTGTTGCATTGCTTGTAATTTTCTTTTTGCACAATCATATTCAGACATTCAAATAAACAGTTTTATACTGTAATACACACTGGTGAATATTAAAAAATAAACCCATTGTCTCCATATGACAGGGGTGTCCAAACTGGACCAGATTAGATAATGTGAAAACCTGGGGGCAGCTGCCTCTCACATCACATTAGTCATTAAAAAATAAACAAAAAATCCAACTGTTTCATCTTTTACTAAAATATAGAAAACTTCGCCCTTGCTGTCGACTTTACTTTTTTTGCTATGGCCATTTGTGCCACTGAGCAGCAAATTTCTGCTGCTTGGTAACTGTTTGTTTGCTTGCTTTGTTTCTACTTAGTTTAAGACTACAGACTGTGGGATAGTCCTGTCATTGTGAGGTGGACAAAAAAAATGCAAAATTAACTTGCTTGATTACTTATTAATATTGTGTACTAGGCCACATGTGGTATATTTTGAAAGACAAGCCTCTGGGTCACGATTGGCGCCCGGGCCTGTCTTTGGACATGCCTGCCACATCAGGACATCAATTTTTCAAAATCTACTTCCTGTTCAGAGACATTGCCAATTTTTTTATACTTAGCATGTCCTATTAATCCTAAATAACTAGGAGAAATTAAAAATGCATACCAAACAAATGCTCGGATCTCAGATATTTTGAATCTTTGCACATTCTTGTGTAAACCTGTACAGCTCTGACATATATTCTACATATTTTAATCGATTTTTTTATATTTTTTATTGTTGATTTTTAAAAATGTCTTTACGTTTCTTTACTTTTGCAGTACTTTATTCTTACTATGTTTATTGTTATGCTCCAAAACAAGGCAAATTCCTTGTACATGAACACCTACTTAGCAATAAACCTGATTCTGATAAATGATAATGGAACATGAACTGAATCCATCTTATATGTAGTTAAATAAGCTGCAAATTAAAATATATTTAACACTTTTCATTCCTTCCTGTAAGGCACCATCCTTCTACCTATATTATAGTGTTTGTATTCTGCAGCATGTTAAAACGTTCCTGGGTCAAAAAAAAAGTGGATTTGAGTTTGTGAGTTCTCACCTGTTTGGTCATGGAGTCTATCAGCCGAACATAAAGATCCTGTTCTGTCCTGATGCCTGAAACAAAAACACAAAACAGACCCATAAGTCTGCTGAAACAAACACACACACACTGCTGTCATAATTATCTGTGACTCTGAGCAGAATTGACTGCATGATGACACATTTATATCACCAACATACATACATGCATTAGCCTGTTATGCTAATTTTATCTCAGTATGCAAAAGGAAAGAAAGAACGAAAGAAGAGATTCCTAATAATGTTCTGTAAATGAATTCTGTTATTATTTATGTCCCGGTAGTGTATTTATGTTTTCTGTAGCTCTTGTCATCTCGTCCCGGCTACGCTAACACCCCCCTCAGCAAAAACAAACATTAGCGCGGCTCCAGAGCTGTTTATTATTTATAGGCCACGCCGCCTTTAACTGCCGAGCTCCCCCCGCCCCTCCGCCGCCCCCCCGCTGCCTTTTTCCTCAAGGATAACAAGGAATCCTCATTCTCCGACAAATTAAATATCAATCAGGATTGCTTGTCTTTTATTAGCTATGCATCCGAGCGTAAATGTGACACAAACACGACATGGGGTGGAGGAAAGCAAATTGCAGGGAACACCTGTTAGCGGCGGAGTCGCTCTAATTGTATTCGATGCTGTGGGGTTCTTTTTTTTCCCTTCTTCTTGTTTTGCGGGCCGTTTGCTCGCAGCTTCCTGTGCTTTCTAATTGACATGATTCACTCCTCACTCTGCGCTCTGAGTGCTGTGCAGTCTGCAGCCTAAATGGCGGCTATCCGTCCCGGGTTGCAGATGAGGTCAATTACCTCCGTACGATGCTAATCCGACGATGCCGACTCATATTAGAGTGATTTATCCCCCTTTGGAAGAAAACGCTCTTTTATGTCCCACTTTATCTGGTGTTTCTGCAGGGGTCTGAGAGCATTACGGCCGTCCTCCTCCTGCAGCTCTGGACTCGTGCCAGCACAAAGCCGAGCTGTGTGTTTTGAATCAGCAAAAGATCCCTCCACTTTCCCCCCAATGGACAAAACAGAGTTCAGGTTTGGTTGGTTGTCAGATATTCCAGATGTCTGTGTGTGTGTGTGTGTGTGTGTGTGCGCTGATAATGAAAAACTTTTTCCTGCCTCACAGTCTTAAAAACTGCACAGTTCACTTCCACTATAAGTCTGCTGAGGTGACCTTTAATATAAATTCCTTCTCTACAAATTCTGAGCTCTAATTCATGCAGGAAAGTTAACTGCAAACCAACACAGACAGTTTCACCTGTGGGAGCGAGAGCAGTCATTACCTCCACTTCATCAATCAATACCGCACACCTGAACAAAGGCTCACCTGACCTACACAACTGCCATTTAAAAAAAGGCGAATTTAGTTTTAATTTCTTGCTGTCAATCAACGTGTGTTACCACCACTGAGAGCAGGTCGTAGGGACGGAAATCCTTCAAAATATATCTTCATATTCAACTAACTTGCTTCAATGACATTACAGTTACTGGCAGCATTTTTGACAAACCAGAAAGTGTGACATCGTTACACCAAACAGAAACCATTTAGCTCTTTATCCTGCAGGCTCACAAAACATTTCAGGACATGTTACACTCAGGTCTGGACAAGCAGATGAACACAGGTGTGCAGATTTGTGTTAACATTTTGTTCCACGCTGACCCTCACAAACACGAAATCGAAGACGCTGTATAAGTATCATTCGCGTTCAGCTTTTGCGAGGCTGGTCACTGCTTCCTTGTGTTTCCGCTGTATTTCACAAATTTCAGATACACCTTAATTAAAACAGTAGAAGTAACTCAGCAGAGTCCAGGTTTAGTTTCAGGGACTCGTCAGGTGGAAACAGGCAACAGTGGAAGCAAAATAGAAACCAACAACAAGTTGGATAAAACATTTGACAGTGCATTAATTTCTCATTCTTAATTTCTGAGATTGATTTTCTTGTGTGAGCTCAGTGACATTAAATCACTCTGCAGTGCTGTTTCTCTCTCCAGATAGCCATCCAGAAGGTGACGCTACCTTCAGGAACTTCTTATTTTTCGTGCAGATATTAAACGCAGTGATAGAACCAGCGATTAGGGTTTGGGTTATTCAGGAGTCCTGAATAAAACCATTAAAACGTTAATTAAGTTTAGCTGTCAGGAGCCAGTATTTTAAAGGAAAAACCATCGGTAACACTTAATTTGGACAGTCCTCATACAGATAGTTAATGGAGTATCTGTAACACTTCAACAGCTTATATACTGAGACAACACTTCAATTGTTTTGGTTTTTACAGCCGACATTTAACAGATTATCTACAGAGTAGATGTGACAATTCATGAACATACTCTCAGAATAATTTTAAATTGAACTATTCATAGTTCAAGTTTAACAATGTTATTCTGAGAATCTAAGGGTGGGCTTTGTATGGATTATATTCCATGTATCACAGCTTGTTCCACACGCGATGTATTAAATGACAATGTTACAAACATTGGGTGTCTGGTAGCAGCATTAGACCTGCGTTGGTCGTGTTTCAGTTCCCTCACTCCGTCCCTCTCACAGACACAAAAAGAAAGATTCTCAAACATCACACACACTCCTCCGCCCATCAATACAACGTTCTCCAGAGCGAGAGTGTGTTAGCAAGCAAGGCGTGTGTGTGTTGTTTGTGCAGGGCTCCAGATCACTACGATTTAGTCACATTTTGCGACCATGGAGCACCAATGTGGCTTGCAAATATTAATATATGAGGTGGAGCGGTGTTTGTCTGTTTCCAGCTCACAGTGAATAAACTCATGTTTGAAGGCACAGAGGGGTTTAACTGTCTGCTAACATGTAACTGTTGATGGGAAGCTTCAAGTTTGCAGCAAAAACATCGACACATCCTGCCCGAAACAAGCCAGGCGCTCCAAAATAAAAGCACCATAGTTCCACTTTGACTTGTCTAATTATAACACCACTTTAACTTTATCATGACGGTAGTTCATTTAGTGATTTTGTATTTAAAAGTCTCTAGTAATTTAAAAATATCAAGATATATATTGTGTATCGTGATACAGCTTAAACATATCGTGATATTGTTTTTACAGTAAGTCATATCGTCCGGCCCTACAAGAATATGTGGTAAATTGTCTCATATACTTTATAGATAAACAGCTACAGACAAAGCAACAGTTGAATTGTTGGATCTCAACTAATAAGCTGTTGAAATGTTACTAATAAATATAATTAACTGTGGGTTGAATATCAAGATAAAGTGATGCCAAACTATTGAAATTAATGTTGACAATGAAACCCAAACTTGCCAGATAATTCATCATTTATAGGAGCTCTTTAGCAAGATGTAATGTCTTAATAGTCTGTTTACTTTTACTTATACCTGCAGTACTTTTTAACTTTTTACTTGGTTGCATTTTTACTCTCGTCTTCATCTTGGACAAAGAAGACTCAGGATTTTATTTCAATATCGACCAAGACCACCACTGCGGGGACATTTCTAAATTGCCTTGTGCAAGAAAGGAGCGTTGAATAAAGACAGTTAAACTGATTTCAGCTCCCTAATGTTTGTTTGTATTTGTTTGCTCTGAGAAATCAAAGCAAAATTCTTATATTTAAAATTCACCTCTGCAGTGCCTTTGGAGATTTCCCATGTTACACTTATACATACACACATATGTACAGTATATGACAATAAAAGAGGTAAATGAAAATGGACCCTCATTTGTTTTCTGTGGCTGTTTTTATGTGAAAGTGGGTATTTCAGATCAGTTTGAGGAATATCTGTGGTTTGCATGTTCCATATTTTACTCTAAGTGTGTCATGCAGTGTGGGACTCGCGCTGGTGTGGTCTCGGTCATGACTCAGCGTCGATACACTCTGGTCTCAGTCATGACTTGGTCTCAGATTAGGTGGACGTGACTACAACACTAAATGGCATCATATCTTGAGATGTGAAATATGTCAATGCTTGATTAAAATCTTTTGTGTTTTTTAAGGTAGGTGTGTGTGCACGCTGTTTTTGCAGGGTCTTTTATTTAATCACAGACCCAGCGTTCTCTTTGGGTGCTGCTGGACACCATATTTATGAATATCCTGATAAAGGAAATTCACCATGTTCAACTTACTGTGTTGTTCATTGGGCTTCACAATAAAGTCACATATATTCTCATCCCGTACCCGCAATGCATATACTGCCTATTGTAACTGCTACACATGTTCATATATATGTTTTTAAATCTCTTATCCTATATTTATTCTATATATCACTGTTCATTATGTACATTTAGCTGCACTTTACAGCTTGTTGCACTTCAGGTTAGATGCTAAACTTTGCAGTCTCCGTACTTTTAATCTGTGCGATAACAATAACGTTAAATCCAATATCTCAACAACTACTCACCAAATTTCCAGTAATTCTACAAACTTAACACTGCTTCACTGCTGTGAAACCAGTTAAATCACGTGTGTGTGGTTTGTCATATATCAATATGATATTATGGTGATGTGTTCTGACCGTTGCTGTAGAGGAGCTGTAGCCTGTAGTGGATCCCATTGTTGGTCTTCTCTCCGTTGTACTCCTGTCACACAAACACACAGACACACACTTTACTCACACAAGTTACTGTGATGAAGGTGTGATAAAACATTTACAGTCGTCCAGCAGCAGCAGGCTGTGATGCTGCACTCAGCAGGCAGCTGCAGTCCTCACAGTCAGAGCTGTTCCTGTGAAAGTCAAACATGTGTACATGGACACGCTGCAGTACTGTAAGAACCTCACTATGGTCAAGTATTCTGTGTCTGTAGTTTGAGTATTTGAGGAATGGTAGCACATTTCTGTCAACAAACAGAATACAAGGGATAATAAAAATAGAAATTATGACACATTAGATCAAAGTTTGACTTTTACTGTTTGCCCATAATCTATCTTACTACGACTGACTAACTGATAAAGAGTAAAAATAAATAATAAATTCACTTTTTTTTATTAAAATTATACAAGATAAGTGAACATTATCTCTCACAAAGTATAATATACAAGCTACTATGTCTAAATATAGATTTTTCATTGTTTTGATTATGAGACAAAATCAAAACGATTAATTTTAGTAAAAGAAATCAAACACAAAGTAACATGTTTACATGGTAAATAAAAAATAGACAACAGTAAAGTATCATGTTTAACTTTTAAGTAAAAAATTTAATCTCAAACTCTTTTCTCTGAACATTATCTTCTATTTTTGACTTCAGAAGTCACCTTTTCTTTTCAAAATCACAATTTTGATTCAGTATCTTATCTTTTTTTTGTCATTTTATTTTATTTCATTTTATTTTATTTTATTATTTATATTACTTTGGTGTATTTTTCCCATTTTATTTTGTATATTGTGATTGTCAGATTTTATTTAATTTCACACTTGAAATACTTCTGTTCTTCCTTAAACCATGTAAATTACTCTGTAACGTTTTGAAAAGTGGGGTGTAAATCAATTTGGTTATTATTATAACTTTATTCTATATACTTATATTTTAAACAAGTGGAGAAAAAATGTTTCAGAAATCTTCAACTTGTTTTAAGTATTTTATAAACTCAAGATGTATTTTTCAGTTCAATTTTTCAGCTATTACAGTCACTGTGACCTCTGACCTCTAACCAACAACAAGCAGGTGGTCATGTGATTCACACTTGGCATGAAGACAACAGACATCCCTCTTTCTCTCCTGACTGTCTGCTCTGCATCTCTGTCTTTGTAACACTGAAATAACTGTAATTTTGTTCTGTGCAATGTGTCGTACTCGGTTTCTGTACAGCTACACGTGTTGTCACATGATCTGTTGGGCGACCACCATTGGTTGTATATATAGAGGTGTGTCTCCTTATCTTGCTCATGTCTGATAAAGGGCTGGTGTCCGAAAAGTCACATGTGGTGATACGATTAAAATTTCCGAAAGGAGCAGTTTCTAGCGTGCGGACCTGTTTTGTATTTTTGTACAAGTTAAAGTCCACATTCAAAACTTTACTCAAGTGAAACTACAAAAGTGATTTGCATCAAAATATATCTGAAGTACCAAAAGGTTATGAAGAATAATAAATATTATTGGATTATAATTATTGATGCATTAGGGGCCGTACACATGCCACGTTTTTTGGGCCTTCAAATTCATTGTTTTAAATGTAGACACACATTTGCCAGAGTGACGCAGTGGCGACATGCACGCATTCCCAAGTGCCCATGTTTTAGGGCACGCTGGTTGTGCTTTCAGATAAACCGAGTTCAACTTTCGGAATGCTGCAGCGTGCACCGCATGTCATGTGACAAGGAACAACCAATCAGAGCTGACCGATGTCTTTCCCTTCTTCCGTAAATATCATTCTGATAATTAAATAACAGTTGATCATGTTAGTGCAGGGCTACCTAGAGCTTTATATCTGTCCCACAGACAATAGGCCTACACACTTATAAACAGCTCCTGGAAGAAGATCAGCTCTGCACTCAGGATTTTAGGTAAATAGGCTATGATACGGTGCTTGCTTAGCAACCTCAGACGCAACCTGCCATCGCGCTCATGAAAAATGGCTCAAAAAAAGGCACAAAAGTCGTGCCAAGCGTCCAACCTCGCGTTTTCCAGGCGGTTAAAGACGCAGCATGTGTACGGCCCTTTAACATGTGCATCACTTTAATGTTACAGCTGATAAAGGTGAAGCTTTTAATCGCTTCGTGTACTGCTGGGTCATTTAAGCTATAATAATACATCATCAATTAATAGTTGATTATGTTTTGTATTAATTATTTGTAATGTAACTACAACTGTCAGGTGAATGTCATGCGGTAAAAAGTATAATATTTCCCTCTGAGATGTGGAATAGAAGTATAAAGTAGCTTAAAATGGAAATACTTAAGGAACAAGAACCTCAACGAGTCCAGTAGCTGAGTAAATGTCGTTAATTACTTTTCACTACTGAATAACACTTAATACATTAATATGCCACATGTGCATTGAAGGAGTTATTAGTGCCTCTAAGTTATTGTCCTTTTGGTTATATAGTCTCCGTTGAACTTCCTTGATTTTCAGACAGAAGTCTAATTTTATCTTCAGCTCTAAACTTCAGAAGAAGAACTGTGGATTTAGTTTTTCATGTTTCACAGAGATCACTTCAGACAGGAGGAATGATTACAGACCCCATGTGAGAGCTGTGTTAAGATAAGAGCCGAAAATATCTGAGCGTATCCTTTATTCAGCATCTCCTCCTCATGTCTCTTTTAGTTTCTTCTCTCTCTTGACCCCCTCTCACCCCGTCTTCGTTCCTCTCCTTCTTCTTCTTCTCTTTTTATTTTCAGCCTCTATTCCCCTTTAATTTCACTCCTCTCTCCCCCTTTCAGTCTCCGTCAGTCGGCCGCTTGGTGCCAACTGTGCCTGGGAGTGTTGGCTCAGTCCCAGTGTGTGTGTGTGTGTGTGTTGGGGGGGTATCGGGGCGAGAGACTAGAGGTCAAAGCAGAGGTGAGGTGAGTGAGTGGGTGGAGTGGAGAGGAGGATTTTGGTGCCAGCTGGCAGCCGATCAAACACCAAACACTCCTCAACCTGTCTGGATATTATAATTATTATTATTATTATCATTATCATTATTATTATTAGTGTTAATAGTAGTTATAGTAGTAGTATGTGTTTTTATATGGTGTAACTTTAAGTCTGCTGTTGTTCCAGAACCAACGTCATGTTCGTCTGCCTCTTAGTACTGTCTGACTTCCTGTCTGTGTCACTCGGTCCCACGTCCATTGGTTCCTCCTGAAAACGTAAATCTTTATAAACACAAATATATTGTTTCATTTAGGACTTAACTGAGGAAAAAACTGTGATTTTCCTGACTTATATTTATGTTATTCTTTATAAATTTAACTAAAGGCTCTTATTTGTGGTCTACATAATTCCACACAAGATGTCTGGACCATCACCACAAAAATTATTCATGTTTTTATTAAATAAAGCAGCTGGTTGTTGTTAAGATCCTCAGAGAAAAGTCTCAAATTTTCCCAAACTTCCCAAACAGCCAGTTTAGCCAAATGTCAAATGCACGACTAATATAATATAAAGATATTACATTAACTGTAATATTTTGGTTGCCTTAGAAAGTTATGTTCAGCATTTGGTTGAACTAAAAGACACTCTAAGCAGTCGAATATTCAGTTTTTCAGTAAGTATATTTTCTTTTAATGGTGTTGCGCCTGGTTAGCAAATATTAGCATTAGAATAACCACAGTTTACTACAGCTGTAAATGCAATATGCTAACTAAGCTAGCAGCTAGCGTTAAGGTTAGCGCCACCCTTGCATTCAAATATGGTCACTTCTGACTCCAAAGATCCAACGTGGTGATGATCAAAATGTAAGGCTTCAAAGTGGGAGTCCACGAACCAGGAGGTGACATTACAGTGGCTACGTCCATTATTTTATACAGTCTATGTTTAAAACACACACTGTTGTCCAGTCATCATAATAACGGCAAATTGCTGGTTTAATATGACTCTGTTAATCATCTAAGTTAAATTTAAAACCATAACTCTTTAGTTCGGAAAACAATTAAGTGTTATTAAAGTAGAAAAAGGATTTATAAGTTTTAAGATTTTAAAAAAATGTCTTATTATTTCCCTCAAACAGCTGATCACTGCAGTTTTTTTTAAACAATAATGCATTTATTAGGGACTATTTTCACTGGTGGATTGATCCACATTTGTTGCTCTAGTAAGTATTTGTGTCAGCAGGACAGTGTATGTGGGATTGAGTCAAAATAAACTACAGTGTGTGTGTTCACAGTACCAAAGGAACTGGTGTGTAAACTGTAATTTTTCACATTGGGTCGGATACGTCACCTTGTCTTTCTCCACAAAGTCGACGTAGGAAGTCCTCTCGATCTCGACCGGCTGACCCTGTCTGTCGTACAGCGCCAGCACAAAGTGGAAGAAGTTGGACTTCCTCAGGTTGGACGGTGGCTGCTTCTCAAAGTGAGCTCGGGCTAAACCAACACCACTGAAACACACACAGAAACAATATTTCATTATTCTTAAACTTCAGATAATTACACACATAATACACATAAACAACTCCAGGTCGAATCAACATATGCTGATGCTGTATGCTGTATGTATTATTCAGCATCTCTTCTATAACTGCTGACTTTTGACTTTTTCACAACTTTTTATTTTTTTCCTACAGCAGTATCAAAGCTGTAAATGAGTTTTAAGTTACTGTTAATGCAAATGAACTATTTCCTCTGCTGCTGTTTCACATTAAAAGCTCTCTACCAGCAGGTTGCTTTTATTGTGAAACAGTCACAGGAAACAAGACAAAGAGAGAGACAGCAGTGTGCTGTAGATTCCGAACACATTTATTTGTAAATCAGTTGCTAAAGACGACCGAGAGGCCGAGAAAATATGATCCGTCATGACACCAAAAATAATCATGACAGGAACTGAAACATCGTCAGGAAAGATTTTATAACCTGAGAATAAAAAAATTGATGGAAAAGATTTATGTGTAAAGTTGAAATAAAACGCAGGAGGAGGAGCAGCGAGTGGAAAACTACTCAGGTGATAATAGTGAGTGAAACAGGGAGGTAACTGCACTGAATTGATTTATCGTCTGTGTGTGTGTGTGTGTGTGTGTCCTCCACTCTGTAAGCGCGACCTTTTACATAAAAGCTAGAAAAACTGTAGAGACAGAGGCCAAAACCCAGGAGAGACGAGACTCTTCCTCCAGTCAGGGGGGAGCAGGAGGAGGGGGGGGGGGGGGGGGGGGGGGGGGGGGGGGGGGGGGGGGGGGGGGGGGGGGGGGGGGGGGGGGGGGGGGGGCATTATGTGTCACCATACATTATATATAAAATGTCTGTGTGGTGCATCGTAACGTCCTTAAAGGGACATTTGGAGGCTGTTTACAACCACAGAGTCCTGAAAAAAGGAAATCTTCATTTGGACAAACAGGTGATTCTTTGACATCACAACCACCTGAAGTAAAAATGGCCGCACTGAGTTCATAAAAACATGGTGTATATCATCTGCTACATGAAAGGAGCAGAGGAGGGTGTGGTTTGAAGAAATTAAAGACATTTCCACCATAAACTGACGCAAAAAAGGCACAAATTGGTGCATAGAATTCATCAGAATGCAGGAAATTAAGTGTCTGACACTTATTGTTCTGTCTTTCTTGCATTTGAGGACACCTGATGATAATTGCATAGTCAGTTTCTAAAGGGTCCTGATTGTGTTGTGGAAGTTTCAGTTGGTGAAAGATAAAATATGGTGGCACTTCATGGAAATAAACAGTACTTGAAGAGTTCTTTATGATGTAGGTTTATTTATATTTAACAGATTTCATTTAAGCTGATCAGATATGACAAGACTGATTTTGACTTGTTGGTTTTATATGTGGAGTAGATGTGTTTGCATGTTTTGTTTTGCTTTGTCGTTAACATCGTGGGCCTTTGTTTTATTGCTGTGTTAAGTGTGTAGAACATATCACTGAGAAATCAAAATAAAATTTCATAAAACCAGAAGGGCACTCAGAGAGCACAGACCTCCACCAAAGCCAAAAGCCCCATTATGCGATGTTACACAATGTTAACAAAAGTAAAAATCATTTGTGTATCCACCCCATGACTTGGATCTCCTCCAAAAATATACACATTCTTCCTCAGCCCGTGCTTCACCCTTGGACCAAAACTCATGGAAAACTGGGCCAATAGTTTTTCCGTAATCCTTCTGACAAACAAACCAACAACCGAACCAAAAACAAATTTCCTTGGCGGAGGTAAAAATACAGTGTGGGTACCAACATTTAACTTCTGCCACAATGCAGTGGCTGATAAAACACGTACAAGCTCACATTCCTTCTACGTGACTCTGTAAAGTATTTACCTGCTGGTGAAACAACACACCTACACCATGCTGCCACAAAGCAGTGCAGTGCCCCAAACACATTCAAGCCTGCACCGACTTCTCCAAATTCAAGTCACTCATCAAAACTCATGTTTTCAAAACGGTTTGAAATGTGTAAATAATGTTGTGTGTAATTTACTGTATTCTAAGTTGTGTTCATTTTTAACCAATGTTAGGTGTCTTCGAGTACTATGAAAAGCCCTCTATAAATTAAATGTATGATCATTATCATTGTTATTATTAATTATCATTATTATTATTATTATTATTATGATATAAGTAGTAGTAGTAGTAGTTTGAATGCACAGAGACACAATCACAAACAAGAAAGAGAAATTAGAGAAAGGGATCGTCCGTTCAACTTAAAACTTTTTCATTTTAACATTTGTCTGAAGGTGGAAAGGAGCAGCAAGCGAGCCCGTTTTATGGAAGTTACAGCAGTATTAGTTACATGCTATAATTTTCTTGCGCTTATTTTGACACATATTGCGAATTCAAACAAAACTCATACTAGGCAACCCATGTATGAGCATGGTCAGAGCAAACATGGGACCCCCTAAATGTATCTGCATTTTGTGAGCAACTATCATCCATGAAATATGACGCTTCCCAACTCACTGCATCTGTTAAAAACTCACATTTCCAACTGTTTGAACATATCACGCCACATAATATAAATAATTTAAACACAAACTGAGACACATGCTCTTGTTTTGACAGGATAACAGATGCATTTCTGTCAATCAAAGAATGGTTCAATAAATTATTTGAAAGCATGTAAATAAAAGTAATAAAGGTTGTTTTTATGTTTGGACATGGACATGAGTTGATAACAGGCTGACTGTGTTTTGTCTGTATACAGGTTAAAATAAAAATTGCCAATCCATTAAAAAGTTTAGATGTTTACACTATAAACTCATCATGAATGTAATATAATATATTTTCAGAGGACTGAATAATAACTGAATGCTTCAAAAATCTCCTTTATTTCTGTCCATATCTGGTGGCTGTAATGCCTGCTAATAACTGACAGTCTAAACTCATTTTCATTTTCACATGCACTAACTTGTTACATGAAGTTTACTCAATTATTATGTGTGATTTGGCAGCAAAACCTGAGCTGTGACAAAGACAAATCACTGATGGGGAGGTTTCATACTCCACAGAAATGAAACACAGCAATAAACTGGACTAAAAGCCAGCTGAGTGATTTTATGTGGAGGCTGATAATATTTTTGAATCATCTGAACTGATCCTGGTTCAGTAGCTACCTCGAGATAAGGCACCAAATAAATACCTTTTATTCAAAATAATTATAAGTTACTTATGGGGTTCCCCAAGGCTCCATGTTAAGCCCATCATTGTATGTTTTGTACATAAATTATATATCAACAATTATGCTATATGCAGATGATATACATGTTTTCTGTTCTGATAAGAATTTGAAGGACACTGTGGGAAAAAATTAAAATTCTGAAGACGACATAATTTTAGTAATCATGTAACAAATCTGCAAAGTCTGCTAAAATACGTTTTTACAGAAACTACATATAAATAATGCCAAATCAAAAATGTCAAGGTAAAATGCCCTACTTTATTTCTAAAATTAAGGACATCTTAAATCAGGCACATTGCACACCTTGTACCTTTATTTACTGTGTTCAAGCATGCAGGAGTTCATACAGATAATACTAATTAAACTTCAAAATTAAACAAATCTACTTATCAAGAACCATGAAATCATTTGTTTATTAAAATGGACTTCATTGCCAATTTGATTTAAAAAAGAAAGAAAATATTTTCATCCTTTAATGTGATTATACATGTATTTTTGTTCCTAATGCTGACTCGTTTCATTGATGAGGTCAGATATCATCACACTTTTGATTTAATGTCTTTGTCTCAGAATGTGCTTCAGGATCAGATTTGCAAAACTATAAAAAGGCTCTTAGTTGGTGTGTAAAGAGAAAAACATCAGTGAGTCAATGTCAGCGGCTGATTTTGGGAAAAAGTGAATAAAAATCCTTGTTGATCATGAAATAAAATCAATGTTCCTGCAGGAAGCGACCTCTGCTCTCAGCCCGCATAACCTAAAAGCATCTAAAGGGGAAACACTCAAAACAACAGCTGAATATTTTTACATCAATCTCATTTCCCTGCTCGTTTTGTTTCCTAAAACGCTTTATGATCAATATGATCGCCCGGGCAATGATAAATATTTATTCATGCTCAGGGTTTGTTTTTGGAAGCTTGCCTGCTCTCTCTCAGTCTCTGTGTTTCCCAGCTCAGGGGTGTATTCCCCAGACGGCAGATTAATACAGCCGTGACCTTTCTGCACCTCCATTACCAATGCTTAATGCCTCATTTGTAGGCCAGTTTGTTGGAAGCTAATTCTTCCGACTCGCAGTGTTTGGCCGGGAGGACGATGGCGTCGAGGGTCTGCAGAGAGACTCAGGAGGAAGAGGAGGAGGAGGATGGCAGCTCAGGTGTGAGTCGGTCAGGTTAGAGTCTGTTTTAAAGTAGGCTCGGTGGGAATAAAGCAGCTGAGTGTCAGAAAACAACAACAGTGTTAAAATAAGAAATAACACCGAGAGGAATCACAGCACGGCAGACATCAACACTTTCACTTCCAGATATTTTCAATGACTTCTTGTGAGAAAAAAAACATCCACAAGCATCTGTTTTTATCCATGTTGCTATTTTGATACTACCGGTGGTGGAGGAGGAAACATCTTTTTAGTAATGCTGCACTGAAAATACTCATCACAAGTCCAGCATTGAAAATGTAAAACAACACATCATCTGCAAAATGTACTTAAAATATCAAAAGTTAAAGCACTTATTATGCAGAAATATTGCCCATGTGAATGGTATAAGATACTGAATATTATACATTATAATTCTTGTTAAGGTGAAGTAAATCTTAACTATTTTATATTACAGATACATTTACATATACATACATAGTGCTGCAATCACATGACCGATGTGCTAATGAAAGTGAAGTAGGACGTGGTCCCGAGCAGTCTAGTTACGTGGCAGGTTGGGCGATGGATGGATCACAAAACACAGGACTTTCCCCCATGACTTTCACCA